TCTTTAAACAGTCTTTGCACTATCAACAAGGGCCGGATCGATTTTCTTCAAACGAGTATCTGTTTTGTTATGGAATTTGTAGAAGGATATATAAGATCAAATGATGTTTTATGTTGGAATCTCGATATAATTTGCTATCGTATTTGCAAAATATGTAAAGAACTAAATATGTAAATCTTCTCCAATCTATGTCTTTTGCAAGAATCAAAGTGTTTTGTGTTTTCTCGTTCTCTTACAAAGATCCAACCTCTCCTTATTCTATACAAAGGTAGCCTATTTATACTGTCCAAACGACATATTGATCTTTGGATCAGATCCACACGGCAACATCTTCTAAACTGAACCTTCACATCACATTTAATATCTGACAGAAGTCAGCCGCACTAGAAGTAGGCAGCCAATACCATGGAAGATTTACTGACGCTTTTATTACTGGCGTCCCATCAATCAATTCAGAGAAATCTTCGAATCTGTTGAGGTGATGTTGGCTTATGGGTGTTAATGGACCTTGTAGTAGCCTCAGATCGAATCGCGCCTTGAGGGTGTGCATCAATCCGAGGTTAGTTAAATGAGGACCTTTCACCCGAGGCTCCCTGGACTGAAGCCCATGCTATCTCTCAGGGGATCCTTCATATCAAGCACGTGACATGTAACTTCGGCCTAATGCCTCACTGGGATCTTTGACCTACTGGGCCCCATTTTGACTTATTGTTGACCGTCCTGTCTACATGGCTTTGAGTTTTTAGACCTCTGAATGGAGGGGTAACAGAGGTAGTTTTTCAATTACTTGATTTTTTGCCTTGTCAACCTCAATACCTTTACATGATACTCGATGACCTAATACAATACCCTCATGAACCATGAAATGACACTTCTCCCAATTCAGCACAAGATTGCTTTCTTCACACCTTTGTAAAACTAATACTAGATTCTTGAGACATGTATCAAATGAAGACCCAAAAAATGATAAATCATCCATAAATAGCTCAATAAATTTTTCAAACATGTCCGAGAAGATTGTCGTCATACATCTCTGAAATGTGGCAGGTGCATTACATAAACCAATTATCATCCTTCTAAAAACAAATGTTCTGTATGGACATGTAAATGTTGTTTTCTCTTGATCTTCACGAGCAATTGGGATCTGGTTGTATCCCGAGTATCCATCCAGAAAGCAACAATGAGAATGTCCTACTAGTCTTTCCAACATATAGTCTATGAATGGTAGAGGGAAGTGATCTTTTCTCATGTGCAGTGTTTAACTTTCAATAATCAATACAAACCATCCATCATGTTACTGTTCTGGTAGGTATGAGTTCATTGTTCTCATTCTTCACCACTGTGATGCCCTATTTCTTTAGTACTACTTGCACTGGACTCACCCACTTACTATCAGAAATAGGATATATAATACTTGCATCCAAAAGTTTAAGTACTTGAGTCTGAACCACTTCTTTCATACTGGGATTCAATCTTCTTTGATGCTCAACTGATGGTTTGAAATCATCTTCCATAAGAATCTTGTACATGCATAATGATGAACTGATACCCTTTATGTCAGCGATTACCATCCAATTGCAGTTTTGTGTTCTCTGAGCACCCTAAGTAATTTATGTTCTTCCTAATTTGTTATAGAGCTTGCAATGATGACTAGCAATGTAGAAGCTTCTCCCAGATAGGCATACTTTAAATGCGCTGGTAGAGGTTTCAACTCAAGAATTGATGGATGTTGACTAGATGGCACTGGTTTAATATGGCCTTTACCAAGCATTTCAAATTGATACCTCCTTAGGAATGCAATAGGTGGCAATGATTCCAAATAATTGATGTATTCCTCAATTTCAAGATTTTCTACTATTTTGGATCCATAATGAACTAAGCATGCTTCCAATGGTTCCGTAAGATGTTCTTATTCAACTGACTTTACTATCAAGTTATCTATAATGTCGATCTAGAAACAAGAGTTTGGTTCAGATGGATACTTCATTGATTTGAAGATGTTGAAAGTGACTTGTTCATCCTCCAGTCTCAAAATTAATTGCCCTTTGTGTACATCAATTAAAGCTTTTCTCGTATCAAGGAATGACATGCCCAAAATGATTGGAATATCTAGGTCTTCTTCCATATCTAGTACAATAAAATCTGCGAGGTAGATGAATTTGTCTACCTTCACCAATACATCTTCAATAATTCTCATTGGATGCTTTATTGAGTGATCAGCTAGTTCCAATGATATTGTGGTTGCTTTGGCCTCTCCAATTGCTAGTTTCTTGTACAAAGCAATGGAGGTCGCCAATCTAGGCCATGGGCCTTCATGATCGCCCATTGACCCCGTCCAGGTAAGTAAAACCTTCCTCTTTTATAACTCACTAGCTCTGTTAGCCCAAGAATAACTAACCAAGAGGGGGTGAATTGGTTATTGAAATTTTTTCGTTAATTACTCAAGATTCTAATATAGTGAATGCGCAAAAATATTCTAAACACAAGTAAATGCGTAGATAGAACAATATAAGTTAGTGCGAAGTAAATG